TTCTTTTTCCCCTTACCCTTTTCCCCCTGTTCTTTGGGCGCCTTAGGGATTATACGTACCTCCTTCTGGGGTGCCGTCTCCCTCTCTTCTTTCCCTGGTGCTAGGGGATGAATGGGTGCCGAGGTTCCTGCCAGCACAGTCGGCCCAGCCCCCGGACCGACAGCTGCAAGGCGGTCGACAACGGCTTTCAGCCTGTCGACCTCTGCGCTGCAACCACAGTCCCGGAACTGAGCCTTCAGCTCGGCATCCAGTTCTTCCTTCGCTTCTTCCATCCTCTCCTTGGTAGGGAAAGGATGGATCATGTCCTCCATGTTATCGTCCAAGGAGGGGATATCCGAGTCCCCTTCTTCCATCCTGACGGAGGTAGAAGTTGAGGACGACATTATCTTCCTTCTCTTCTTCTTCGTCTTCTTTGCCCTCCTCTTCCTCTCGTCCTCACTCGTTGCGGCCGAGGATGATCCCCCCGCCGCCTCGGCGTAGGATAGTTTCCGACCTATTGGCAGGGCTGGTGGAAAAGTGGCAGCTGCCGGAGGAGCCATAGGGATCGACGAAGCGACGAGTCGCTTCGTCGATTCCAGCTCCTCCGCCAGCCGCCTATTCTCCACCTTTGTCTTTCTGAGCTCCTCTCGGAGCTCATTTGCCTCCTTCTCGGCCAGGGTTATATCTCCCTCTTTCTCCCTACTCGCCACCCTGGCCATCAGGGTGGCGAGCATGGCCTCAGAAACCCCCACAGCACGATTGAGTGCCCCCACGAAAGTCCCTTTCAGTGTTTTGGACCTTCGTGAGACCAATCGGATCGTGCCTAGGGCGCGACTGAGGCCAGCTCGCTCACCCTGGCTTCCCTCAGCAGTCCCTTAGAGGCGCTGTCCCTAAAGACCTCCTCCATTGGCCGTTTGTCCCTCAAGGACCGGAATATTCCGTTGTCCAGGATGGCCTGCACCTCCTGCTCCAACCTGGTCCATTCCGCCTTTCTTTCCTCCTTCTCTTGTGCAGCCCTCTTCTCCCTGATCCCCACACCCAAGCCAGTGACCACGGGCCTGCAGCGACCCCTCTTCACCGGCTCCAGTGCAGGGCCTGTGGCTACCACACAGGAGCCACTACTGCTGCTGCCGTCCGCGCTTACCTGCTCCCTCGTTCTCTTCCTTAGCCCCTCCCGTAGCCGAGACACAGGGATCTTCGAGCCCTGCGAGAGCAGGACATCGGAGAGGACCACTGATCCAGTGGCCCCCTTCGACGCCCCCTTAGCCCTCACAAGTCCCGAAGCCCCCGCCTCCCGGCCCTTGTTTGGCTAGCTATTCCCCTTCTTGGAGCAGAGGGGGCCGGGTTTAGTGGTCACTGCTAGGTTATGACTCCCAGTCCCCCTTGTTTGCTAGGTCCCACGTTGGGTGGCCGCTCGTATGATTCTACCCGCCGAGCTCACCGCGCCATCCCCGCGGTCGGGGAGGCGCTGGGTTGAGGACGGTGGTCGGTCCTCTATCTTAAGCGACCCTCCAGGGGCTAGCCCCCTGGAGTTCGCTAGCTCAACCTCCCCGGGGGGAGGGGAGGTGGCACCTGCCTGGCAGATTCCTACCACCTCTTTTACCCCCGTCTCTACTTCTGAAAAATCACCCACCGAGGTGGGTGGTTGGTCCATAGACGGGCTGCTATGCCCATCCGTTAGAGACCTTTGTGAGCCCGAAGACTCTGAGTCCGGAGACTCGTTGGGTTTTTGTAAAATTGCGAAATCCATTGTTCCTACGAGTGCGGCAGGAAGTGGGCGTCGACCCCAGGTAGAGCCCCCGCATTACCCGGGGTAAGGCTAGCATGTCCCATGGGTTCGCCAGGTGCCCAGGGTGAGGAACCACTAGCGACAGGTCACGCACCTGCCATTCATCCCATAAGCGTAGCATGCCTCAACCGTAGGATTACGTGGTGTTTTATAGAGGACCCGCCTCGCAGTCCGGCCAATTAAGGCAAGACCCCCGGCCCCAGAGACATGACCTAGGGTTACGGTGTAATAGGCTAGGGTCTGTCGGGGATGCCTGAGCCCCCTGTACCAGAATGCCGAAGCACCCTGGCCCCTCGCAATCGTATCAGGTTATACGTCCTGACAAGTACGGGTTTGCAATCAGGCTTTTCCTTCCCCTAGAATGGTTGCCTTCACCCGACTCACGAGCCCGTTCTGCCCGCGCTATAGGGTCCTTTGGATCGTACAAGTACGGTCCTCCGGTCCCTATATGAAACTCGGAGGCAGCTGCCCCTCCGAGAGTGAATAAGGACGCTCTTAGTCTGGCCTCTCAGTGCAGATCTCTCCGGCATGGTAGAACCTGCCAGAGGTCGAAACCCCCGCCGGCACAGCTCTGCACATCATCAAGACACACAAGCCCCCCCACCACGTCAAGGTGGCGCCCACGGGGGGGACTTTGAAAGTGACTCTAATTAACAAAAGTTTATCTAACTGAATATGAAGTAAAAAGTTGAAACAGAAGTATTTGTTATTGATACTAACATCAAATATGTATAGATGTAATATTTATAGATGTAATTTATAGATGTAATTATTATAGAGAATTGAATCATATGTAAGGTATCTATTTAAAATAGTGCCATATGTAAACGTTAATATTATTTGCAATGACACTTTTCTACTGCTTTTGTTCTTAGTTAAAGCTATTAGAATCAATAATTAAAATTCAAAATTTTTTCTTGTCAAATAAGAAACTTGATGTATTTTAAAAGCACCTTTGAAGCACGAAAATTAAAAATTCTCCAAGATATATAAAAAAAGTTTTAAAAGATTGCAAGAAATTTCTTTTTAGAAAATATACTGGAACCATTTCTTAACGTAATAGGTTCATTTATGTTTGCATCTTTTTGCTCTTTTTCGAAAAAAAAACGAAATTTTATATGAACGAAACTCAACTAGACTTCAATCAGAGATGACAAATAGATAGCAATAGTAGAACATAGGCCTCTAATCGTAATAAGTCCACGCATTCTCTCCCAATTTGCGACTTTTTAATACTTTTAATGTATTTTTATTATTATTTTAATTGTTTTTGTATTTTTTCATTATTTTATTTTTTTTATTTTTGCTAGTTTTATTGTTTTTTTTGTATTTTTTTGTATTTTTATTTTTTGTTATTATGTTTTCATTATTAATATATTATATATTTTTCAAAAATAAAAATTATCCTCTGAGTCACTACCGAATTGTATGGAAATATCTCTATCTGTGGAGGATACTAATAAATCAGTGACTTCAGAAAAGAAAGTTTTTTTAGATTTAAATGACTTTCGCCGCAATGATGTTATGAAAAAATATAAAAACAATTAAAATAACAATAAAAATATATTAAAAATATAAAAATGTCGCAAATTGGGAGGGAATGCGTGGACTAATTACAATTAGAGGCCTATGTCCGGGTTTTGCTATACTTCATCCCACTGTGCATCGTTGTGAAATGTAATATGCAAAATATGTACTGCGTAATATAATAATAATATGTGCATGTATCTGTATGCATAAGAAAATTACTTGTTATTATTTGAGAAACATGTAATATAATATTTGTTTGTGTTGCATACAACGAATAAGATGTATCATATGTTCTACAATATATATAATTATCACATAATATATAGTCCATTTCTTAAAATAAAGAAACGTATCATAAAAATATAAAATATTTAGTAAATATTAGACTATTAAGATATTATTAATTGTACAACTTTGCTTCCGTCCTTTTCCTATAGATGGCTTTAGCGGTAAATAGTGTTTAGGGTTTTTTGATGTCCTCTTGCTCTCTCGTCGATTGCAAGTGGAGGGTAGGTTCCTAAATCAACCTAGGCGTATTCTTTTCCTTTGTAATCTTTATTGCGCACGTGCCTGCCAGTCGCAGAGCACGTGAATCACAGATGTGGCGTATGCGCCTCGAAGGTACAAAAGTCGTTGCTCTCGCACGCATACAGGTCACAGCAGGACTTGTATATGTGTAGACAGACAGAGGCCGATGCACCTGCCTGCTTCCTCTCGCACACACACGTCTGCGTGTCGGAATCACAGTATCACACGAGAAACGGACAAAACAATCGAAGCTAAGAACTAGCGACTGTGTTCAGTGTGCTCTGTGAGTGCTTCCAACGGTTACTCTTTTCGTTGCTCTTTTTCCGCGCACGAGTGAGACTTGCGCGCGCTCTATAGCGCCGGAACCGCACGGAAACGGATGCATGAGCCTTGGGGAACTCAAAGTCCCGACAAGTGGTCGAAATAAATAGATCATAGACGTCATGCAATAAACTTGGGCATCTGTCAATATAACCCTATAGAAACATTAGTCGATTTGTGTCTGCATCATAAAGTTATTCTCGATTGAAAATGTCAGTTTACGATCCAAATTCTCGTCATTTGCGGGAGGTTTTAATTTTCTGCTTCAATATGAAGAAATCTGCGGCTGAGGCTCATCGAATGCTCTTAAACGTATGGTGAGGCCGTTATTACCCACACAGCACATGATATTATTCGTATATACTGTTTTCATACTAAATATACTATAGATATATCTAATATACTGAGAATATCCCTATAATATTTTTCGTAGTATATTATTTTTTGTATATTTTTAGAATATACGTAATTCATCAATAATATTCAGTTTATTTATCGAATATTCTGGAAATATTCGAATATTATCAACAATATTTTAATCATTAATCGGACATATCCCTTCTACAATAAGCAATTAGTCATAAGCCGTAAGCAAATTGACCAACCACAGTCGATTATTTAAAAAATAATCAAATGTGATTGGTCAATTTGCTTACGGCTTTTGACTAATTGCTTTATATTGTAGAAGGTCTCTAAAGGTCATTCTACAATACGTGTCGTAAGTCGTAAGCCGTAAGAACTAACCAATTATAGCCGATTATTTTTGTAATAATCGACTGTGATTCGCCAATTTTTACGACTTACAACTTACAACTTACGACACGTATTGTAGAATGACTTTAACAACACAGGTATCCAAGAAACGTTCAGAGTACGTCCTGAAGATGATCTCGGGATGTTTCTTCATCCTCAGAACGTCCCTGGGATGTTCTTAGGAGATCTTGTGCTGTCTGGAGCCACCCAATCAGAATCAGGCGGAGGCCCGATTCTGATTGGATGGCTTTTAATGCTTCTCTACTCCACTCTCCGCTTTCCGTGTCCATCTGAACGCACGTAGTCACGTCGTATACGAAGATCTTAATATAAGGTAATAATTATATAATTATTTTATTTATAAAATAACATTAACTATTATGCATTAGTAAATTTGTACTTCAATAGATATTTTGTTAGATAGGCTAATTCGTTGTATAAAATTTTATATCTTTTTCAACCTGTCTTTCAGGGTTATGTGGCACAAAATAATTAACTTCAGGTTGTTACACTATTTTTCCTATTTTCTTGATAGTTATAAGTTATTCAGACTGCGTCTCAATTTTCCTCCTTAATCCATATAATAATTATTGGAAAATGTGCCAAAAATTTCAAAACAACCAGCGAAGCATATTAAAGAAACAAAACAAGGTACACAAAAAAGTTATAATCTGATGATATATAATAAAACATCCATGATCAGATGATATGTAATAAACAAATCTTTTGTTATTTTTAGTATCCCAACAAAATGATTTGTCACAAGATTTGTTTCACAAGCAAATGAAGCATAATATGCAAACGGAGAATTATGTAATTAATAAAAATTATGAAAATTTACTGAGCACAAGCAAGCAACAAACTAGTGATCTAGACAATGGTAATTGTCAAGGTATGTTAGTAACTTTTATATATTTTTTATTTGATTTGGAACATGTGATTCATTTTTATCTGAGAATGCTTTTGTGGAAATGTTTCCGACTGCAGAAGTAAGCAAGTATAAATCGAAGCATTATTATTACATATTAATAAAACATTCATGATCAGATAATATGTAATAAACAATTCTTTTGTTATTTTTAGTATTGCAACAAAATGATTTTCCACAAGATTTGTTTCACAAGCAACCGAAGCATAACATGCAAACGGAGCATTATGTAATTAATAAAAATTACAAAAATTTACCGAGCACAAGCAAGCAACAAACTAGTGATCTGGACATTCGTAATTGTCAAGGTATGTTAGTAACTTTTATATATTTTTTATTTGATTTGGAACATGTGATTAATTTTCATCTGAGAATGCTTTTGTAAAAATGTTTCTGACTGCAGAAGTAAGCAAGTATAAATAGAAGCATTATTATTACATTATTATTACATATTAATAAAACATCCATCATCAGATAATATGTAATGAACAAATCTTTTGTTATTTTTAGTATTGCAAAAAGATGATTTTCCATAAGATTTGTTTCACAAGCAACCGAAGCATAACATGCAAACGGAGCATTATGTAATTAATAAAAATTATGAAAATTTACCGAGCACAAGCAAGCAACAAACTAGTGATCTGGACATTGGTAATTGTCAAGGTATATTAGTAACTTTTATATATTTTTTATTTGATTTGGTACATGTGATTCATTTTTATTTGAGAATGCTTTTGTGAAAATGTTGTCGACTACAGAAGTAAGCAAGCACAAATAAAAGTATTATTATTATATATTAAATTATAATTTTACATTGTCTCGACAGTTTATTGTTATCTCTTTATTCAAATTTATTGATTTTGCGGCTTATCAATATATTTATATAAGAGTGTAATATTTTTATTAATTCACAGGAACAGAAAATTTTCATCGATTTGTTGTTGAAACATTAGTATCTTTAAAAATGAAAGTCAATGCAATAGACAGAAATGTAAAACTTCTTTTGCATAAACGGTCAGTTCCTATTATTGACACAGAATGGGAAGATGACATTTTTCAGAATTTAACAGTTAAAAGTGACAATGAACTTGAAGTAATAGAAACAAAGTTAAAGAATGACTCAACTTATAGAAAAATACTTTATATCTGTTTATTATTCAATATAGCTGTTAAATAACGTAATAAAAATCACAAAAATATAGATTAAAACCTAAGTTGTATTTTAACACTTTAATTATATAACTATTCATTATCATAATAACAGGAAAATATTCGGAACATTTTACAATTTTTTTGACTCGATTGGAAGAGAAACTGTTGTTTAATAGACATATCTTTTTATTTTAACGTATGCTATAATAATTTTTGTCGTGCAATTTTTCCCTTTTGACATAATTAAATAAAGATAGTCTCAGAGAGGATCCATAGAGTCATAATATATATAAATTAATAAATGTCATTAGACGAAATATTGAACTAATATTAACTCTGTACTTACATTTCAGATTAAACAATTGGTTCGAGTTGTATGCGAGGATTTAAAAATCATTATGTATAAGATTAATGAGACAAATCTTCAGCAATGAATTAGCCATGGAATACAGCTAGTATGGAGCGAAAAAGAAAAATATCTTCAGCAACTTACAATTGTGTAAAGTAATTATATGTAAGTAAAATATATAATCAGAATATATATACAGAATTGTAAATCTTAGTTTTTAATTAATATCATAATTGGTAATTATTTAGAAGAGGCACACCGCCTCTGATTTTGCTAAAACTCTCATTTGATTCATTTTCACGTGTAGAAGCTGAATCTGAATTAAAAATCAGTGCTCGGCTGTACAAAGCGAGAAAAATATTGTTTAAGATAGAATATGATAGATTAAGAAACTTGTCATTGCAAGGTAAAGTCTGTTCGTTACACTTATTGTATTAGTGTAGTGCAGTATAACAATTATATGAAAATACTTAAATTAAGAATATTTATATAAATAATTTTGTCACATGTCACCTTGCATAGGGGCCTTTGCTAATCTTTTCAGAATTTGTCATTTTAATGTATGATAGACTCATTGATTTAGTAAGACGAAGATTTAAAGATATATTCTTTTATAATTATTGTACATAAAATAGGAGTTATTTTGTGTACAATTTAAAATAAGACCTATCTTGTGTACAATAATTGCAAAAGAATATATTTTTAAATCTTTGCTTTACTAAAGTGATGAGTCTACCTTATATTAAAATGACAGGTTCTGAAAAGATTAGCAAAGGCTCCTATGCAAAGGAGAATGTATCATGAATCAAAAGCGGAAGAATCATAGCATATGTTATTTTATTGCGTAACAAGAGGAACAAGATCAGTCCTACATAATGAGATAGCATATACTTACATTCTTCTGCTTCTGATTAATGATACACTCTCCCTTGTATAGGGCCCTTTGCTAACCTTTTTAGAATCTGCCATTTTAGTACATATAAGGCGAAGATTTAAAGATATATTCTTTTATAATTATTGTACACAAGATAGGAGTTATTTTTTGTACAATTCAAAATAAGTTCTATCTTATGTACAATAATTATAAAAGTTTAGTTTGTATAGTTTAGTTGTATACTGCGCTACACTAATACAGTAAGTACAACGAAGAAACTTTACCTTGCAATGGCAGGTTTCCTAACCTATCATACCTCTATCTTTAACAATTTTTTTCTTGCTTTATAGAGTTGAATAACTATTTTTATTTTTGGATCCGGTTTCTACGAGTCAAAATATATATGATATGTGAGTTTTAGCAAAATCGGAGGCGGTATACCTTTTCTAAATAATTACCAAATGTTTAAACAAATATTTAAGTAATCTCTTTATTTATATATTTACATTAACATAAAATTTTTCAACTTTCTTTTAAGCAACTTAAATGAGAACAGATATTTATTTAAAGAAAACACACTCTCTCTCTCTCTCACTCTCTAATTATACTGATTTTTAAATATTATATTCCAGGTGTGATAAGAAAGTCGCATACAACCGCAACAGATGAACAAATTTCTGCTCCCATCAAGATCTGGCTGGCTCATGCAAAGGAACGTGCAAAAAAACAAAAAATAATTGAGTTATTTTAGATTTTACATATATATATATAATTTATGAAGATACATATATATATATATATTATAATTTATAAAGTTTATAGTTTATAAAGGCAGTACAAGTTGTTAAGAATTCATTTATATGTTTATTAATATATGTATAAAGAGTTCATTTATATGTTAAACTAATTTAAAAAATATATATTATAACATATATATAACCAATTGGTCATTTTTATTATACCCAAAAAAACCTGCAGAATATTTATATATTATATAAATATTCTACAAATATACTAACAATAAACTAGGAAATATTTCTAATCGATACTAGTAATATTATTAAAATATTATTATATATACCTACAATATATTACGAAATATTCTCAGTATATACTGAGTAGACTGCGGAAGCAGACATAGGAACATTCTCAGTATATTGTAAGATTTTAAAAAGAGAGATCCTCTATTTCTCTGTTCTATTATCTTTCTGTCTCTCTTCTTCTTGATCCTCTTCCTTTGTGAGAGAGGGATGTTCAGGATGTTAAGGTTCCGAGCGATTAATTTGTACTCTTCTTATTATGAACAAGAATATCAGTATGTATATTTTAAATAAACAATAATACAATAGTATCCGACACCGCAACTTATATCAAATATATCTCTTTACAAAAGCTTAACGCTCTACGACTCTTTCTTCGACTTGACTCTAATTTCTATTATTCGTCTCGACATTGATCGGCAAAAGCTAAAGGCTAAAGAGCTAACGGCAAACAGGTAAAAAGCCAAAAAGCCCCGTCTTCCTCCGTGCGTCTCCTTTTATCCTTTTCTCCATCCGTCGAGTCTGATCTCTCTCAGGACCGGTCTTTCTCCCGTGGCTCCGCCCGGAATAGACTGGTGCTGTCCTCCCTCGTCTGTATCTTACAATATTCTCAAAATATTATAGTACGTATTTCGGATATTCATGGAATAATCGCAATTTACGGTTGCGATATACTGAGAATCTGCTTAGAATCTACCTGTGCTGTATGGGTAGTGAAAGAACGTGTCGTGAGTAGTTTCAACGCTTCAAGAACGGTAATTTTCACGTCGAAGACCGGCATAGCGGTGGAAGAGAGAAGATTTTCGAAGATGCAGAATTGGAGGCATTACTTAATGAAGACTCGTGTCAAAGTCAAGAAGAATTGGCACGATCATTGGGAGTGACTCAGCAAGCAATTTCATAACGCCTCAAAGACATGGGAATGATTCAGAAGCAAGGAAATTGGGTGCCGTATGAGTTGAAACCGAGAGATGTTGAACGGCGTTTGTTTGCTTGTGAACAGTTGCTTGAAAGGCAAAGACGGAAGGGATTTCTGCATCGCATTGTGACTGGGGATGAAAAACGGGTTCATTACGATAACTCCAAGCGCAGAAAATCATGGGCATATCCCGGCCATGCTTCCACGTCGACGGCCAAATCGAATATTCACGGCTCCAAGGTCATGCTCTGTATTTGGTAGGACCAGCTCGGTGTAGTGTATTATGAGCTGTTAAAACCGACTGAAACAATTACAGGCGATCGTTATCGAACGCAATTAATGTGTTTGAGCCGAGCATTGAAAGACAAACGGCCGCAATACAACAAGATACACGATAAAGTGATTTTGCAGCATGACAATGCTCAACCCCATGTTGCGAAAGTGGTCAAGACATACTTGGAAACGTTGAAATGGGAAGTCCTACCTCACCAGCCGTATTCTCCAGACGTTGCTCCCTCTGACTATCACTTGTTTCGATCAATGGCACACGGCCTAGTTGACCAGCACTTCCGGTCTTATGAAGAAGTAAGAAATTGGATCGATTCGTGGATCGCTTCAAAAGATGATCAGTTTTTTCAACGCGGGATTCGTACGCTTCCCGAAAGATGGGAGAAAATAGTGGCCAGCTATGGACAATACTTTGAATCATAAATGTATAACCAGTTTTTTACAATAAAGCCTCGAATTTCGGAAAGAAACGGCGGAAGCAAAGTTGTACACCTAATAAATGATTCATCTAAATATTACACGTTATTATGAAAGATTATAAGACATAAATAACATATAGACTAACTTCTTTTTGTATTCTTTATGCTTTCTGGATATCAATTATTCAGACATAAGTAATACATGTTATGGTAAGCAAAGAACACCACCGGACAGATCGATACAGCGATCGATACCGACGTAGGTCAAAGGACGGGAGCACGAGCCACCCACGCCATAGCAAGCCTCGCCGTCGCGCCGCTAGGTGGCAAGTCATTGACCCCCCACGACTCGGAGTTAAAAGTCCGACCGGCGAATTTAAAAGGAGCGCACTGCGGGTGTTTCAGCAGAGAAATCGGACGCTTAATGGTATATCGAGAACCGACGCACTATAAATACTAGCAACGCTGAAAAGCATATCTCTCACATAACGCACTGCAAAGTGCGAGCAACGTTGCAAAGCGTCTCTCTACCGCTATACACAACGCAAGGTGTGCGAGCAACGCTGAAAAACGTATATTTTGGTACACGCACTGCAAACTGCGAACGACGCTGTAAAGCGTCGGCGCTGAAAAACGCATTAAGACAGCACGCAAATTAGCCCCGGGGGCTTCACCGTGTCAGCCTGCGGCCGCATCTAGATGGTTTCCCAAGGCGGGGGACCGGCAAAAGCGACCGAAAGCAGGAGTAAGAAACAAGGAGTCAAGAGAGCGCTGTTAGAGCTCTTCGGCCCGGAATCTCCGAAGAAAACCTCTTCCAAGCCTAGGTCATGACGGCCTAGAACGCCTTCTTCGAGTCGGCAAGAAACTCCATCCCCCGAAGGATGGCACAACGATGACCAAGCTTCTCCTAAAAAGGCGCAACCAGCCTCTCCACGGTGGAAGCTAACAATTGCAGAAGTGACACCGCCGCGTCTATCAAGACTGCCACTATATAAGCTAACCCGGGCAGATTCACGAGTAGGACGACCGCTGTCCCCTAGGTACGTCAGCGAGGGCGTTCCCCCTCGGACTCTTGGGACTCTTGGGACGCAGACAACCCCAAGAACCAATAGAATACTAGCAAATACGGAGCACCTTAGTAACTTGGCCTTCAGTAAACGGAGTCCACGATGGCCCTATTTCAACGCGGCAACCTGTCGTCGTATTCGAAGAAATATCTTACAAAAGAAAATACACTGACACAACACACATTTGTACAATGTTATAATATATTCCGCATGTTTCCATAACTAATATCCTCACTTATTAATTCTCCCTTCCTCTCGATCACAAGAACGCAAAAGTAGACGCAACCCACACATGTTAAACATCTAATTAATAAAAACAAAAACTAATTACTATATGTGAATGAATCACAGTATCAAATAAATATTATACCATAAAAAGAAAGTGTATCACTGCTCTTCGGTAAACATTAACTAATACACTAGAACATCCTACGGATGTTATGTGGATATTTTATATAATTTGTGGCTAATGCATATGCCCTCAGGGACTTCTATGGATAACTTTTTTCATTTGGATCATAATAAGATCATTTTGATCAAATTAGGATATACTTTGGAGATCTAATGCTATGTGGGAACAAATGTAACTAACTTCGCACTGTGATCGTTGCGACAATTTATTGACCGTTTACCGACAGGAGTTGAGCCTCATTGCATTAAAAAAGATGTTTAAAAAATGAAATTGAGAAATAAATATTACGGAATTAAGCAGAATAAATAAGAGTAATATCTAAAGAGATAAATAATACAACATATTTCTTGGTTTCGCATAATTTCTTAATTGCTTTTTTATGTTGAAAAGTTCGATAGAAATTGGAGATTAGAAAGAACGATACAGAAATATTTAAAAGTCTTATATACTATTTCATCCATGTTTCTACAAAAAATTGCTTCTGCAAAAATATAAATAGACTACAAACACAGTATACATATTGGTTGCAATTTAATCGACCGCAACTATCAAGCTGCAAAAAATTTCGAAAATAGGCCTTATTTTCGGTAAAAGATGCCAAGACTATAATGTATCGAAAATATGTCCCTTGATAGTTGCGGTCGATTAAATTGCAACCAATATTTATACTGCGTTTCTAGTCTATTCATACTTTTGCAAAAGCGATCTTTTATAGAAACATGGATGAATAGTATGTAAGACTTTTAAATATTTTTGTATCGTTCTTTCTAATCTCCAATTTCTATCAAACTTTTCAACATGAGAAAACAATTAAGAAATTATGCAAAACCAGGAAATATGTTGCATTATTTATCTCTTTAAGTATTACTCTTATTTATTCTGCTTTATTCCGTAATATTTATTTCTTGGTTTCATTTTTTAAATATCTTTTTTAATGCAATAAGGCTCGATTCCTATTGGTAAACGGTCGATAAATTGTCACAACGATCACAGTGCAAAGTTAGTTGCATTTGTCATAATTGAGAACACTGCAAATATCATTATCAACGAAGTCAACGAGTAACTTTTTCGGCAACCTCTGCATTATCATCCGAATAAGGGCAAGCAACCCGTCAACCTGTATGTTGCTATTAAACCCTGTACATCCTGTGTACATCGGATGTGTACCGTCGGATTTTGTTCGGACATTTATTTTATGGATTTTATGGACGTCCCGAAATCCAAATTCGAACGTCTATTAGGCGTCCGTGTGCTATTTGGGGGAATGCGTTCAGGCAACATACTATCAGTACTAAAACGTCATTTTATCTTTGTCACTCATTTCCAGATGGACAGACATGTTGACAATAGCATGCAGGTTCGATGTATATTTTATGATACCATTCAAGTGGCATAACATGTTTTGTAATAGGCTTGCTGTAAGAAATACGTATTTATTATTTCATTATTATTATTAGATATTTTGCAGCAAAATATCAGTTTGTTTGTATTGCTGATTAATTGCGTCCTCTTACCGACACAATTACGACATATGCCGCAATTTTCATGGCATCAGATTGTTTCTTTTATATGTTGCTACAATGTATGTATTCTTGTATGAAGACGCATCTTTATGCACTTATGCTATTATTTTA